TTCACCTTGGGCTGCTCGCCCTTGCCTTTGGGTGGCATCTTGGCTTATTGTGTACGGACGTTGAAGTGACAGTGGGGTGGGTGGTTTGGGATGTTCCAAGGATCCGGGCGCCTTGGAGAGTCGAAAATTCGGTGCCTGGCGGGGGATATGGGACCTGGGTCGTGTGTGTCAAAGTGAGAATGACGCTGTGTGGGGTGGAATTTCGAGTGGCGGAGCATCTGGCGCTAGAGCCAGCCCTACCTTCGCCGACATTCCCGAAGCTTCAAGGTGGCCTTCACATGAACCCCAAGAGTCAATCGCTGCGCATCCAATACTGTCGCGACATTCCCGTCTCTCGAATTGTTCTATCGCATCTAGCTTCCGTAAGCTCTTGGCATTATTGTCCCCGCCATTGGATTCACTAACAACTCCGCAGCGCCCTTGACGCATCACACCTGTCACCCATACACTCGACGCGCGGTCGCACCCAAGATGATTACCGACAGCCAACTCTACTCGCTCGCCATCTTCCTCGGAAGCGCTGCCATGCTCCTCATCGTCCTATACCATTTCCTCGAGGTCAATTCCGACGATCACAAAGTTGAGGAGAAGCCCAAGGCCGCAGCAGGCAAGGTCAAGGCATGAGTTGCGCGGTGCATATGTGGAAGAAGGGTCAAAACAAGAAAAGAGGCTGGGCTGAGGATTCAGGATATCACTTGCAGATCGGAGACATCTGTTGAATGGGAGCATGGAGTTCTGGCGTATACAGTATAGCGGTTCGATCGCTGATTGATTTAACATGGTTGAATTGGCTGTGGCTTACGCATGGAGACATGCTTCGGTTTCCTTCTACTGCGCACCCATAAAGACTCCCAATGCGCCTTGTCCTCGCTATGGGTATACGCGTACTTATACAAAATTATCAAATCTGAAGTTATTCGCAGTCCTCAATCCTCGGCATCTACCAGCTCCTCCTCCTCCTCGTCGCCTTCGATGAAACCCCTTCGACGCTTCTCGTTGGCAAGCGTTACGCCTCCACGATCCATGCCGGGTCCACCAATGCGCTTCTTGAGCGACACAAGCCTTTCATGCGCATCGCGGGCTTCTTCTTCCGCTGAACGCTTGGGTGGACGTCCGCGACCGCGACCTTGGCCAACAGGTGCCTGTGGTGACAAGCTCAGTGCTTCTATTCGCTCGGGCTCGACTGTGATACGTGGTGTAACTTGACGTCCCTGCGCATCGCTGAGATATGCCTCAGAATCATGCGAGTCTATGAATGAGAGCGTTAGATCATTTCTCTCCAAGTGTTCAACGACAATCTAAGCCCATCAATTATCTTCCTTACCAGAGAGACCCCCAGTCGGCCCATCACCAAGCTGCCATGACAGAGGACTGATATGGGCTTCGTGTATGTGATTGCGCCAGTTGCTCTCTAGATCGAAGGAATGAGGCTGATGACGCTCGATGCTCATGTTCGTCATAGGGTCGTAGTTGGTGACTTCTTTGCCGCAATCATCCCACAAGCATTCCAGAGTCTCCTTGCGATGCACCTTGTATATATGCTTTTGAAGCGTCTCTAAATTGTGTAGATCCGCCTGACAGTTCTGCCACTTGCACTTATACGATCGGTACTGCGGGATATGGTTTGCAACACTCGGCGACCGGGAACTGATACGGATGGGCTCGTTGCGCAATGAGCTTGGTTGCGGCGGCTGGTGCTTGAGAGGACCTGTGTGACCGTTCAGAGCTGGACGAGACTGCGCAGCCGGAGATCCATGGATTGCCTTCCTCCACCCAATTGGGCGGCCCTTCTTCTTCGGCAGTGGCTTGCCATCAGGCCCATACTCCGTAGCGGAGCGGAATGCTTGATATCCAACACCAGCAGCACCCGAAGTAGGGCGTGGGGCACTTTGGCTCATAGAAACGGGGTTGCTCGGACGTTTGGGTGTCGCTGGACCTGGACCCGCACCGTTGGGGAGGGAGTGTCGAGGAGGGCGACCGCGGCGCTTCTGCTTAAACGGATTGATGGCTTCGGGTAGAGCTTGGACCTTCTGAGCCCCACCTTCACCAATCGCACTGGGCGGAGCGCGGACACGACGCGCTTCATCGTCGTCGGAATCGTCTTCCTCATCGTCTGCATCCTCAGTCAAGGCTTGAACGCCGTCTTTGAAATACCCTGGCGGAGGTCGTCCTGGATCAATCAAGTCCCACCTGATTGTACTAAGATCTGATTCCCAGGTTATCTGTGGTAATGTGGTCCTCAGACCATCTAGATGTTGGTTCAGATTGCGCTCAGACGGATGGCGTCCACAAGCGAGGAGTACATCCCTTGCAATCGTGGCAGGGTTGTATGTGTTTCGACGGAGAGCATTCTTCTTCTCAAGTGGTTCAACATAGACCTGGTACCGGAGTTCGTTAGGCGGCGGATGGACTGGCGGCGGCGCAGATGCTTGTGGCTGATATGAAGGTGTGTTTGCTATAGGGAAGTTCGGGGTGGAAGGCTCTTCATCGACGGCCATGGCATCTTGATGCGAGTATGATGCGTAAGGGTCTGCATTCATTCTCTTGCGCGGCGGACCCATGTCTTCCTCTTCTGAAAGTTGAGACAAATCGACGAGATCGCTCAAATTACGTTTGCGAGCAGCCTCTTCCTTGTTTGCTGGCTTTCTCAGCTCGGGCTTGATTGGCACCATCTCGGCGACGGGTGCAGGCGCAGGTGCAGGTGCGGGCGACGCGCTCCCTGGGAACGACGGGTAAGAGCTTCCGTTCGCTGGTGAGGCAGTTGCTGGTGTGTATTGAGGGGTCGGCGCAACGGGGGTCGCGACTTCCTTTCTCATGACGGCAGGCGGCACTGGCGGTTTTTGAACTGGAACTGGCGCCGCCTGTACTGCCTTGCGAGATGCAGAATTCACATCTGGCACTGCTGTGAGTAGGCTCTTAGCGAACACTGCGCGATCTAGCTTCAGGCCCATTTGCTCTAGTTGTTCGCACAACTCGATGTAGGAAGGGTTGCTGTTGAGTAGCCCTAGTATCTGGCTGGGTTCAACTTTGCGAACGTCATTTTGGGCGTTGAGATATGCTGCTGCTGCGCTCGCCAGATGCGCCTTCTTCTCGGGTGGCCAGTGAGTGTTACCTGTGGGTCGAGTTGGGGTCGGCTGTGCTTGTCTGACAGGGACAGCTTGGGGTACGGCAGGCGTGGCTGGCTTCGCTGCTGGTTTGGGTGTCGCCTTCTTCTTCGAGTTCGTCGCTTGGGGCGTGACGATTTGAGCAGCCTGTGCGGGTTGCGAGGTGGCAGACTGGGGAGCGGGTTTGTTCTGCGCAGTCGGAGACTTGGGCGCTTTCGCTCTGCGTTCTTCTTCCCAGATTCGAGCTAGGAGTGCCGGGTCCTTGCTGTTTAGCTCTCTCATCTTAGCCATCATTGCTCGGATCTCGCTCTCTAGTGCTTCAGCAGGGCCGTCGGCACTAGATGCTGCAGAAGCTGCTTCCGTCGCATTCGCTTGCTGTTTTTGCGCCTTCTTCGCTCTTGGCTTGGGTTGTGACGCGCGCAATCTGGCCTCCTCCTCCTCTTGTTGTTTGCGTTCCTCTTCCTTCTTTTGCTCCTCTAATTTGCGCGTCTCCTCGGCGATCCTCTCTTCTTCTGCGCGCGCTGCATCTAGAATCGCCTGCTGCGCAGCCTGCTTTCGCTGATATTCTGGCCATGGATCGTAAACTGCCATGGGGTCTACAGTGGTGGTGCCCTGCGCACTGTATGTGTCCGCCATACTGGTGGCCGGTGCCGGTGGTGGCGGCACGATCGCAGAAGGCATTTGCGCGTTGCCGTAGCTGTAGGCCGTTGACGATGTGGCGTTCTGAGAGTTACGCGAGGCTTCAGCAGCAACGCTAGGGAGCTGTCGAGCATTGTAATCGCCATACTGCTGATTCGCCGTAGTGGTCATACTTGCGCTGCGTGAGTTGCTAACAGGCGCATTGTTGTACTGAGGCTGGGCTGGACTGGCAGAGCGCTGTTGCTGCTGGGTGTACATCGCTTGGGTTCTCTGAGTCTGGGGAGGGTACCCTGCCGTCACGGCCGGTGATGGCAAGCCTCGACTCGCTGGCTGCGCGCGGTTGTTGTTGACGCTGCGTGGACGCGCTTGCGCTTGTCCGTAGCCTGCATGGGGTTGTTGCGCCTGTACTTGGGGCGAATGCGAATTGCCCGCGGCGTAACGACCGGAGTGCGAAGAGGCGGCCGTATTAGTTGCGGTGAAGCCCGCTTGGGTATTCGTCGGCGCGGGATTATTCGTATACGATGTTGAGCTGCTCATATTCCGCAAAACCTCGGCGGCGCCTCTGGTTGTCTCTCGTGTCCCGCCATAGTTGTTGCTACTCCATGAGTTATCTTGCACCGTTCCATATCCACTACTTTGGTTCGCGTACGATTGCGGTTGGTAGGAGACGTAGTCCTGTGCTTGGGTCGTCGGCGGCTGCTGATACTGGCGGGACGGTTGCGCGACGCTGTTCGCAGCGGGTGCAGTCTGGTATGCCGAATACTGTTGCGCCGAACTTTGTTGATACGGGTAATTATAAGGGTTGTAGTTGTTTGACGACATAGCAGCGTATTCCTAAAGGTCTGCAAGCCCTTGCGAAGCCACTATATAGGGAAGATTCGGTCGCTGCATGTGGACCGTGGTTCGCGTGAAGGGGCTCGGGTAGGCGTGAGCGGGGGTTCGGGTGGGTGTAGATGCAATATTAATACCGCACTCGGGAATCGTCCGTATCGGGGCTACACCTTGGCGCAAGGTATGCGCTGGTCGAGAGGGCAGACTGACTGCGACGCGTGTTGAAAGTGCGCGACGGCTCGGCGATGCGCTCTATGATGCAGACGCGACTTGCAGCGCCGGACTGTTCGGCGCGGAGAAACCTATCCTCCGATCACGCTAGCGAAGCGAACCCGCCCTAGCAGAGGCACATCTCACAACACCAATTTTGTGATCGCGACACGAACTTTGTCTACTAACCCGACAACCGCCAATCCCACAGCAAAAATGACCAAGGTTAACGCAATGGTCGCGAGCTCTCGACGCAAGTCCCGAAAGGCGCACTTCAGTGCGCCGAGTAGTGTGCGTCGGGTCATCATGAGCGTATGAAGAGACTTGGAACATTGCATGGGACATGTTCTAACAACCTTCAGGCGCCTTTGAGTAAGGAGCTCCGCGAGAAGCACGGAGTGCGCAGCATTCCCGTCCGCAAGGATGTAAGTATCCAGATCTTCTCCCCCAGTTTCGTCGTATGCTGACTTTTCCTAGGACGAGGTCATGGTCGTCCGCGGCTCCAACAAGGGACGTGAGGGCAAGATCTCCTCCGTCTACCGCCTCAAGTACTGCCTCCACGTCAACGGCAGTGCGTAGCCCTCTATTCCCACTCGCCAGCAGATATACTAATTCACAACACAGTTGTTCGCGAGAAGAGCAACGGCCAGTCCGTCCCCATCCCCATCGCTGCCTCCAAGGTTGTCGTCACCAAGCTCAAGCTCGACAAGGACCGTGAGCAAATCCTGGAGCGCAAGTCCGCCGGTCGCGAGGAGAAGAAGAAGCAGAGGGAGCAGCAATAAGCGTATCGTCCCTTTCTATTGACGACACACTACGGCTATGAGGGACATCGACACGAGCATCCCCGTCCCTAGAGGATGAAATGCATATCATGGGTTCACGGTTTGGGCATGCGACACGCGCATGGAAAAGCAGGGCGTTATACCGGCTTCTAGCTCGAACAATGGACTTGCCATCATGCGGCCCCGTCGAAGTTTTCTGTTCGAAATGATACCACGATGGAATGGAGTTTGGCAACGAATGAGATTTGTTACTCCAGCCGTCGCAGTGACACTCTACGTGAAGTTTGACACGAACGCTAGTATATCTACTCCCCAACCGAACCTGATGGTTGACGTGAGTTATACGACTAGCGGAGAAGAACGCCAGACGACAGCAGTCGTTGCTCGCATGCAGACCACCTTTGATATTTCCCCATGACGGAGATGGTTTGACGCTGAGACACATTCCTTCAACTATACACATAGTTTGTGTGTGCAGTATGACTACAGTGTCAACTGCTAAACTTTGAACGAAACCACAGCCATGTTTGACCAGTACAGCGTACCGCTCAGTTGCACGCATTCAGACCTGTCATGATCTCTTGTGTAGCCACGACTACTGGCTTAGCATCTTAGAGATCCTGATTCCAGGTTCTCGGATTTCATTAATTCTCCCATCACATTTACCAATTCGTTCTTAGTGACCCGGTAGAAGTTACTGCCACGCTTCAAAAGCCGTTATATAGCAATACAATTCATCTGCCTCGACTCCGCAGTAATCCACACCTCTATCGCATGTTCTTTGCAGAGCTCAACATATCTTATCTCCACCGTGGCATCTCTATTGGTTCCCTCTCACATCGAACTACAAGCTTAGCGTTCCGAAAAAACCCATGGTGGCGTTCGTCACATTTTGCTCGCACATGTAAACTGCTGTTTCGGCTACTGCACATCGCCACAACTGTGGTGTACCTACTGCACATGGAAACAAAAGCTGCCCAACGCCAACGATAACTAATCGATAAGATACTACGGGACTCTATGTTTGGGTTTGTGTACTACTGTAAGAGGTGCTGGCAAATCGGATGTCGTCTGGCGAGTGCCAGATCTCGTGCTAATGGAGGCTGAGGGCTAGATGCAGATAGTGGATCTGTCGCTCGGGTAGGCGGCGGGTGAGTTATAGAAGGTAGAGTTCGTTTTAGGCGATAGATGGGTTTGTTATCCTTGGTCAGTGAGTCGTGTTCTCGTGGTGTGGTTGGTTGGTGAATTTTCTTGTGAGCTGCGCGTGTGGGCAATTGAGCAAAATGACAAGCCTTAGACAAAATGTCAAGACAGGCATATCGATTGGCATATGTGCGATGTTTGCTTGTGGCATCCCATGGTTGGATACGAAGACTGCATACACGATACGACTGACCTCGGGATTTTCGTATCGATAGTGATGTTGCCTGAGCTGGAGATCTTGATGCTTGATCTCGTGTTCTATATCCGGACACGAACACTATTGAAAGTATTTTGTTATTGTATGCAACGCACAACGAACATGTTCTACCTCGCTATTCAAGACCCTCCCGAGGTCTGCTTTTTGCGTCATCCTTGCTATCAGCAAAGATAGATGTAGATCAAGCGTCATGTGACATCAGCCTCCGCTGCGGTACGGTACGCGAATCTCACGCCTCACGAATCTGACATAACGTCGATCTTATATCTCACTCATATGAATAGCAAAGATGTTTTAGGCGCAAGTACATGTACAGTGTAAGCGCGGCGTCTCCAAATAGCACGGCGTCAGATGCGTGTAAGTGCCGTGGGCGTAAAGTGGTAATACGGCACTTTGATCGCGTGCATGATTGATCGGTTCCGCATAGAGAGCGGTTGTGATTACCGATATATGACGAGACCACTTTGCCATCGAGATATGGTGAATGCCTGGCATACATGCGACAGTGTGTAATGACACCCGTTGGGAGAAAACGAGATGTGGCGGCGATGCCGGTTTCCCGCGACAGTTCATCTGGAAAAAGCAACCGTCACTTAGCAATGAAACGCATCCGAGTATAGATCGAACGCTGCGGTCCGCTCCTTTGCTTCTTTCCTCCTCGGGTAACAACGTCTCGATGCTTTTTTGTATGGCCCGACATGATGGTTGTGACAGCTGCAAGTGCCGCTCACATGCCGCTGGATCCAATCTCCAATGCATGGGCATCTGCGCACGCATGACACTGGATAGAGGGCTTCAATGCTCAGCCACGTGCTTCCCCAGACCCAAGGGCGCATGAAGAAACATGCTGGCTTAGTTGCGTGGCAAAGACTTAATTAGCAGGCATACCACTGCGAAACAGAGAGTCGCGAGTTGCCAGCGGAGGCATTGTTTCGCATAGCGAACATGTGGGTAAGGACCAGCCGTCTTCTTCAAACGCTCCGAGCCGTAAAGTCTCTCCAAGCCCAAAACCTTGGGATGGGCTCACCACCAAAAAGTCTGGACAACTTGTCTCGGGGCTTAGCAACGTGGCAAAGCAAGACTGAGGATCCGAGAAGATCCGTCTCGAATTGCGTGACAGTTGGGGACCGGGATCGCCTGGTGTGTCGGTAGCTGCCAGAGAGTTGTTTTGCCGATAGTTCATGAGTCTGCTGAAGGAACGTCGTTTCCAGCTCGCATGACATTGATGACGGCCAACTGCATCCTATGCGTGCCTAGTACGTAGCCGGATATTGCTGTCCCAATCTAGTGCAGTTGGCGGGGTAGGCATCCGAATGGTTAATGAGGATGTGCACTGTGCCACCAATGCGGTCACGGTTAAGGTTGGCTGCATGCAGGGCGCTTTTAGCAACGTCGAAAAGGCTCCGTGGTCGCTAGTGATCTCATAGACAACTATAGATCGTGATGTCGAGGCCATCGTGTTGCGCTTACGTCGTGAGGCGCGTGGTTAGCAGCTGGTGTGCTGTGGGCTGAGTCAGGGTACGCACGCCTTGAGAAGGGCCGTGTTTCTGTTTCAGGTGCCCGCTAGAGCGTCTCTCGTGTCCCTCCCGTCACGAAGCCGCCCACTTGAGCGCGCGCCTCCCATTCTTTTTATTGCCATCATGCCATCACAGTCAGTAATCTCGAATCGTCGTCACTTGGATGTGATGCAATGTGACGACGATGGGCGATACCAGCAAACGGCGTGTTGTCGTGCCTAAACCCCACAACAGGCTAGGAGAGTGCACAAAGTGCACAGTCTGCCCAGCGCCGCCAAACTGTTCGCCATAGCTTCCGGGGACGTCGCCCGGACGCGCACTATCGATAGGTACTACTTTACGTGCATGCATATACGGCTGCACACGTTTTTAGGCATACGAGAGTGCGAGCACTGAGGTCGAGTCCTCGGAACCTTCTTTTAAGTCTTTCTACTCCGGAGCATATCATCCGATCGTGGAATGGCGTGCGACAGGCGAGCAGAAAGAGGCCAGGAGAGGAGCGGTCTGTCTTGATTCGTGAAGTGGTCGAAGGAGCGGAAATGATCAGAACCCTTGCTGTGTCGAGCCTGGGAGTTTCATGCGCAAAGAGCGTGGGATGCACAACGAGCGACAAGATCGGCACCGCAGCAGCGAAAGTCGGGGCGAAGTGATGCCATCATGTATTCGATTGCAATAATGCAGCGTTCGATGGCGCCGGGTACTGTTCGCCGTTGACCCCGCAGCTCTCAACATCCTCACGGTGCAGATTCTGCTGGTGCTGCGGTTGCACAGAAACCCAGGGACATGTTCCGACACTGGGGCTGTTTCCTCGCTGCAAGCATGTCTCTTGGCTAAAATAAACGCTAAATACTCTTGGTTAAGGCCAGGGGCACTGGCGAATAACGACGACAGCGGCGGGACGTCATTGGTTTGTCTCACCATCTGCCCCTGACACTCTTCGTGTGCATGGTCACACCCTCGCTCGTGCCGTCGCCGCTTAGGCCATTTGGGAGATGCCCAAGCCCACCCGATGGCTGCCCTTGCACGACCGTGAGCGCGAACGGACCCTCTCAGCGGCCGGTTGGACGTCTCCCTCTCGCTCAGGCTCACCTGTCTCTCCCCAGCTTCAGCCTCCGTGTGCCTGAACAGCCTCACCTAGACGGCTTTCCATCTCGACTCCCGCACACCGCTGAGCTGTGCTGCCTCTCATTTCGCCCTACCCTTCGTATACCTCTTCGCCTCTTTGAGAGAGGGTTGCCCCGTCGCTCCCTTTGCACTAGTCGGATCAATCCATCGTCGTCCTTCGCCAGATCGAACATACTGTCGCGCTCGGTCTCGACATCTGTCTTGGATTCGAGTACGTTCGACACGACCATTACTTGCTGGACCATACTGACGCTTTGTCGCACTATAGACGATTACGATTGTCTTTACGAGCCAATTGTATCCTCCAGTCGTCGCATTCGCCTTCCCAACGCGCGGTCGACCAACCTCCATTTTCGGACAACTAATAACCCTTGGACCGTACACCTAGTCATGCGAAGTCGAGTGGAATTATAATCAGTCTATTGCTTTACGTCTCAAGTCGAGGATAAACTCACATCACGTTCGCTATTCTTACCGGATCTAACACACGATCCACATCACACCATGGCTCTCCCAAAGCCCGTATATCCGCTGAGTGAGCACTGCTCAATCATCTACGAGAACACGCTTTACGTATATTCGCCATCTGGATTCCAATCGCTAAAGCTTGAAGAGGGGGCAGAATGGAAGGCGTTGCCTATGGACATATCGCTTACCGGAGCGCAATGCGTGAAGGCAGTGCCCAAGGGGGATGCCGCAGCTGCTAAGCTGTTCATTGTTGGAGGACGCGTCAACGAGACCGCTTCGACGTGGAACTATCCCGGACTGATGCACTACACATTCTCCAAGAAGAAGTGGGACTGGCAACGGTCTGAGAGCTGGAACACACAAAATCGCGTCAACCATGACGCTGTCTACCTACAAGACTCACAGAAGATTCTTGTCTACGCAGGGTCGCAGACAGAGGGGGACAACGGCCCATCGTCGGAATCCTTCCTAATGTCCACTGTCGAGCCCTACTCGGTATCGAGTATGCCGCCGTCCGGCGCGCCACTCTCCGTGAAGCCCATGCTGATGAACTCGGACGCCAACTCTGCAATATTAGTCGGTGGTGGCGCTACCAACACTGCGGTATGGAAGTTCAGCGAAGCATCAGGATGGAAAGATCTCGGCGTCAGCCTTGAACAACCGATCGTTAACGCCGATGCTGTCAAATGTTCAATAGTCTCCAACAAAGACGGAAGGATCGCTCTGGAGAAGTTCGACATGAGTGTAACACCAAATGCCGTGGAACGAATCCTCCTCGTGAACAAGGACGGATCGCCCGCAGCCCCGGGAACTCTTGCCGGTGGGGACAAGGTGAAGCGAGTAGTCATCGATGACTGGTCAAAGTACAACGACACACTCGCACCGACAGTTACACGGAACGGTTACTCGTTAGCACAAGGCGAGGATGGCACCACCGTTGCAAGTGGTGGCAACCCCGATGAGCCCATTGCTGTCTTCGACGCAAAGGAGAACGCATGGATGAACGCGACAGCGTTGTTCTCTGGACAAGAGATCCTAGTGAACTCGATATCATCTTCAAGCGCATCATCGACACCGACCGCGACCGCATCCGTATCAGCTACGCCCAGCGCCAGCACCACAGAAGCAGTCGGCCCACCACCGGCTCCCCCTAGCAATAAGGGAAAGATGTTGACTGTACTTGGCGCCACACTCGGTACGATTTTCGGCATCGCTGCTATCCTGATTCTCATTCTGTTTTGTCTCAAGTACAGGAAGAACAAGAGCAAGCAGAACCCAGGTTACGTCGAGAAGAACGACCGCATGAGCTTTGCCGACCGCGGCGCTGCTTTCATGAAGGAGGCAGGTGGAGCTGTCGTCACTTACCAGCCAAAACACAACAACGACTCTGTCACATCGCTTGCCATCATCCAAGGACGTGGTAGCAACAACGGCCACAAGAAGAATGTTGCGAGCGACGCTAGCACAGCAGGACTTGTGAAGAAGAGCAGTCCGCTTGGCTACTCCGAAGGCTACAACGAGCCCTACGAGCTTGCTAAGTTTGACCTCAAGCCAGAGCCTGTCGAGCCCATGGTTCGTCAGAACTCCAGTCGGAATAAGCCTGCACCAAGAGCACGTAGCTCAGGCTGGAGTCGGTACTTCGCCAACAACGAAGCTACAAACCTCGCAAGTGCACCACCTGCTGATCGTTCTACTTTCGCGTCAGACCGAACAAGTACCGCCAGCCAGTCACAATACACCAACTCGCGCATGTACAGCTCGCGTCCATCACAACACATCGCTCCATTAGAGATCCCCAAGTTCAACGACGGGCAGCGTCTAAGCCGAGTTGCCAGTGGAAGTCCAACGCTTGGAACCCCCAACAGTGTCATTCCACATGGTGTTCAGCCCATGCAAGCAGAGCTTGCTCGCGCCAATTCAAATGCCAGCACAGTATCTGCTCTCAGTCACGACGGTGATCACTATCTACGCCACCCCGTAGAAAGCTGGACTCCAGTGGGCGATGACCGACGGACGAGCAGTCAGTACACCGGTAGCATGGTCATCGACTCCAACAAGTACGATGGCGCTAGCTCGTATTACCCTGACGGCACCGATTCGTTCTACCCCAAGAGCAACTTCTCCTCCTTCTACCCCGGCCAAGGCGACAACCCATCCACCGTTCCCGACATGCGAGACAGCACGTTCACCATGTTCCCATCAGGCAACGCACCACCCGCACCCACAGAGGAGATGCCCAAGAGCAAGTTCAGCTCGATGTACCCCGTGCCACCACGTCTCGGACTCCCACAAGATCGCGAGAGCACAGCAACCGTGTTCCCAGGTGGCCCCGGTGGTGCACAAGGAGGGAAGGCTGAGGCGGCGCTACCAAGCCCCAAGTTCAACTCCTTCTACCCACCACCCAAAGTCGGACACGAGAGCTCAGCAACCCTCTTCCCCGGCCCGGGTCCCAACCAAGGCAACGGAAAGGAGCAATCAGACATGTCATGGCTGAACCTCGGCCAAAGCAGATAAAAGCCCTCGAGTTTGAACTTAGCCTTGTCACGCCTATAATGAGCCCATGCTCCCACCCGTCTCTACCTCGACCATACACATCACCTCCATCCTCTCTCTCTCGAAAAGCAGCATCACTTAGCGAACGCATCATCACCACCCTGTACAGCAGATCTTTCTTTCTCGAGCATAGCATTCATCAGCGCCGGGCGTCTCTTACCAAATCCCCCTTGTTCACCAGACGCTAGCCGCGAAAAGCCGATGTCAGCTTTTGGCATTCAGTCGCTACAGATACCCGACGCCAACCTCCTCACAGCGCGTCAACCCACTACTTCCTACAAACGCCTACCTCCTCCACTCTCTCCTCTCGAAACAGAAGAGTCTCAGTTGTAAATAGAACGCCACCTCTTAACCCCACACCCCAACCCACCACTTTCTTTTCTCATACACTCTTTTCTTTTCCCACCAACCTCGTTTCCCGATATCTCTTTTTTCCCACTTTTCAACTTGGTCTGTGTCCAAATGTATCTTTGGAAATGCCACAGTATCTTGTTGATGATCGTCGTTATTGTTGTTGTCTCAGATCTACGGGTCTGGATATGTTTTTGCTTTTTTTTTGGAATGGCGTCGTCGTGCAAGATGGTTGGAAAGATCTCCTCGCTGTCTTGTTGTCCTCTTGTTGTATGTAGCTCGCTTGTCGAGTGGGGGTGGAGGGAGGAAGTGAGGGAAGAAGGATGTTGGACTGGCTTGACCTAGATGTGCTGGGTTGCTGGTGCGAGGGAAACGTCTATTGTTGACGTGGTGGCTGAAATGGTGGATTGGATCGGACGTTAATACTTTAATGAAAGAAGCGAGTGTCGTACCAAATTATTTTGTCTGCCTGTGATGTTTGCATTTGTGAAAGGAATGTGTTGATGCTTAAACTCTATTCTAAGTGAGGTGTCTGGTTCCAGTGGCCAAGTGTACAGCCAGCTTGCATGGTAAGTCCATCCAACATCATTCGCCCTGGACCTTCACATGCACATTTACACGAGACGCAAACTGGCTGCCATGTCCTAATCATTACATCTTGACCAAGCATCAAAAACAGGTATCCGTAGAGAAGAGCGTGTGAGATCGCATCGTTCAGGTATCGCCCGGGAGCCGAGAGATATCTGAACGATGCGATCTCACACGCTCTTCTCTACGAATACCCTTCTAGGTCCAAAGTCTAAAAGTCTATCGCTCCACCAACCACCAACCTTCCCAGTTCATATAACGCCTCCAAAACACACCACCTCTAATTAACAACCCTCTTCATCTGCGCCGCCTGCCTCGGCTCAATAAACAGCGCCTCCGCCTCCGTCAACACAACACCCTCCTTCTCCTCACTCCCCAGCGTCATCAACCGTCCCTTAACCCACGCCTTCCTGCCCTCAACCTTTGTCGTCTCAGCCCGTAGAACCACAATCTGCCCTGCCATACACGGCGCCTTGTAATCGATCTTCAAACTCGCCGTCACACCTACTTTATTCGGCAGCGCGGGGAAACAGCATCGTGCTAGTCCTTCGTCGAGGAGTGTGGCAAGCAGACCGCCGTGGACGATACCGGGGTGGCCACACAGCGCTTCACCCAGATATTGCAGTGACACGAATTCAGAGCCGTCGGCTGTGCTGAATTGGATTGGGGGGACGGCGATTTTGTCTGGGCCGAGGAGTGTGCCTCCCGTCAGGTTCTGTGCCCGAAGTCCCTCTGGTATCTTGAGATGCGGCCGTGAAGCAATGTATTTGGGGTCCTCCAGCAACGATTTTGTGAGAGGGTGGTCGAATATGCTTCGTTCTATCTCGGCAATGGCTTCTGTGCTGGGTGTGAAGAGCTCGAGGGTTTCGGCATCGGTGGGCGGGTTCGCGAGGTCTTGGAGGGAGGCCATGGCGGGGAAACCGGCGATTACGAAACCGCTGGTGAGTGTGAGGAGGGTGAGAGCGAGGGCGATGGGGATACGGATGTAGATTGGTCGTTTGGGTTTTTGGGAGGAGGAATTGGGTGGTGGTGGAGGCGGTGATGTGTGTTGTGCGGTTTGCGATTGTTCTGCTGCTATGGAAGTGTTAGTTTACTAAATTCTTCTTTCTCGAGTCTTCCATAGCGATAGGACATTGGAAGTCAAATCCAGACGGGAATTGAAATAAACTTACAAACACTACTCGTCCACCTAACAATCCGTATCCTATCTTCCAGCCCACCCCCAGCCGGCCCTCTCTGTCCTTTTATACAACCCGGGCGGACTTCGCGCAGCGGGGCCAATACTCTGTATGCCCCGAAACCTAACACTCTGCTGCGACCCACATGCCCAGATAAGGCAGACCTTGCGGATATCATACTTACGTAGTCAGCGCCTAGAATCTCGCGGCAGAGACTTTTTTTCTGGCCTAGACTAGAGGGTAAGTCGGCGGTGAGCACGTTGGTAGCGGGTAGTACAGTCGGAGGTTCCGCGCATGCGCGCGCGTTCGGTCCCTGAGCTCGGACGCTGGCGGAATAGGAAGTGCCGAGGTTCAGAGGGTGGGATGTTGTTGGCTGCAAGGGCGAGGGAAATTTGGGACAATGGTCGCCAAGATGGTGTACTATTCATGGGTTTTGTCATGGAGTGTATTTGCATCGCTTGGTACGTACTTCGGCCGATGATAATGAATTAGCTTCTGGCGTAGGTGCCCCTTTAAGTTGAACGGGTTGTCGTCGATGCCCGCCTATGTATGCTGTCGACTCAAAGAAACCTCTCAGTCTACATCAAGGACTGTACATCACGATGAAAATAGCTCGAGACGATGTATCATGTGTGAATTGAGATTCGATTATCCCAGTTCTGTCCTTGGAAACTTGTTCCACTTGCTTTACACGTGGTATTTCCACTCCACCAATCCATCAAGTCATCATACTATACATACAGAGTAGAGAAGTGCGTCATGTAGAACGCCATACTCATCTACGGCGTCCGTCTATCCACTTCCATGACCCAGGTGACGAAACATAACAACTCCATATAGAGGCCAGTCAAGGACTACAAAAACAGAGCAACAACTGTCTTTTTGGACGCCAAAGATGCAGCAAGAACATGACCACCAACATTAAGGTGTGGCGAGAAGGTAGCGTAATCGTACAGGGTGGAATGCAGAGGGAAAGAAAAAGAGATTAGTGGCGACTCGCTCAGTAGTAATCCCTGGCACTCTTCTGCAGTTCGATCAACCTCCATCCTCGTGTCTCGGGGTTGTTGACGTCTTCTGGTATCCTGGTGACACCGATAGCGTATGTGACTTGCTGGACCTTGTCGTCCATGCCGGAGGCCAGTTCACCGGACTTGGCGTTGCGGTAGACGTGCACTTCTTGGGTTCTGCAGGTGAGGATGAAGACGGGGATCTCTCCTGGCTCCAGTAGTTTTGCGTTCAGAACGTCGACACCACGGATGTCGACAATCTTTCCGTCAGACTTGAGGCCAGCAGCCTGGTATTGTTGCATGAGCGCTGCGTATACTGAGTATTGCGCTGCTGATAGCCACTCCTTCAGGACGGCAATGTCGCCCTTGACGTATGCGTCCAGGACTTCTGGGAGGATGTATTCGCGCATCTCGGTCAGGAAGGGCTCCATCTGGAAGTTGGGGTCCATCTCTCTGAACCTCTTGATGACCATGGCCGTCTCGTTTTCGGCGAAGAAGCCGGTGATGCGGTCGGAGATGCTACGAGCGGTCTCGATGATGGCGTTGTCGGACTCCCTGTAGACGGTCTTCATGTTGAAGAAGCCTTGGGCAAGCTTGGAGTTGTCCTTCCATTCTCTCCAGACTTCCTTGTACTTGGCGTCTTTGTGAAGGGTAACGTTTGTGCCAGCACTGCTACGTGTTAGTCAAAGGTCCTCATATTCTCAGAGATGCCTTACTTTGGGTCCTCCTCCATTGGGCCCAGGGGTTTACCGCCAGTCCGCTGGAGTTCGTTGAGTTCGCGCAGCTCTCGCCTCTTCCTGCGCTCTTCCTTCTCGACCCAACCGCCGTATCTTGACGAGCTGCCATCGTCGATTGTTTCCTTCACAGCTTGGAAGGCCTTGGTCTGTCGGACTGGCCGAGTTGCGTATTCAAGTCCGGTACCAGTGACCCTCGCAGCAGCACGAACGCCCTTGACGGGCATAGTGTCCCATGTCCACGCCGCACCGTGACCAACAGCTGATGCCGTCGCCTTCAATGCCTCCGTGGTCTTTGTCTTGGCAGCCTCAGAGATCTGGCCAGCCTTCTGGACGTTTGGGTTCTGCTGGAAGTCGTGCAGCGCACCACCCAACTGCTTTGTACCCTCGTTCCAGTCTTTCGAGGCCTGGAACTCTTGCTTCAAGGTCTCGGTGAAGACCTGCCATGGTGTCTTGTCGCCGTGGGGTGGAGGTGGGGGCGCATCCTTCTTCTCTTTCTTCTGGCCCTCTTCGCCCTCCTTCTGTTCACCAGCTTCTTCCTCTCCGTCCTTCTTCTCCTTGGCTTCCTCGCCCTCTTTCTTTGCCTGGTCGCCTGCAGCCTGCTCTGAGGTGCTACCCTCGGAGGCTGTTGATTTGGTGGGGTCAGGCTCTTGGTCCTTTACGTCTTTTTGCTTTTGCGCTTGCTCGTACAGGGCGGGCCGAGAAGAGAAGTGGCGGACGTATGCGGATGACGTGCGGAAGAGAACATCTTGGGGCAAGAATTCGCTGCGGAGGAAGCGTTGGGAGGAGGGTGTAGATGTGGACGCTAGTGATGTGCGTGTGGAGGAGACTTGCGATGTTCTTGGTAGTGTTGATATCCGTCTATACGCTGCAGCTCTTCCGCATGCGCTTGCAGGCGTAGCAGCGGCGGGTTGTATGCTCCATCGCGCAGTGGCGGCAAATGTGCTTGCTGTCTGGGGCCTCATGCTCTGGACTTGAAGGCAATTGGATCTGGGTATTAAATTGAAGTAGGACCGGCCCAAGCAGTGAGCGTTGGAAGGTGGGCGCGGCGAAGGTGGGTGAGAAGCATCGCCATCTTTTTCCGAATGCCAAGCCAGACTCGCAACCTTCTGCGACTTTCTAGCAAATCGCTGCATCCCCGAACCTCAATCGGGGCATCTACCGCCTTCAACATGGCCAGCAACACAACTCTACAGACGTTCCGATCCCTCACATGCTCAATTCGCTCATCATGTCGACACACGCAATCCCTGCGACCGTTTTCGCACAGCACACGAGTCCTCGCTGCAACTCCTCCCTCTTTCCGCAAGAGGCCTGAGAAGAGTCTCGACCAGCTGCTCAGCAATGTAGACGAGAACTTTAGTGGCGCGGCCCCCAATCCATACAATATGATACCTGGCCAAAACCCAAACGACCCTTCTTTCAAGAACCTCGCGTCGCGCGAATGGGACGAAGACGACAAACACAAACTCCATGTTTACGCCACCAAGCACAACACACACCTGTGTCTGACACAACCAAACCGAAACCCACTGATCTCGGTATCTTGCGGAAACATCGGCTTCAGGAAAGCGGGGCGCGGAACATACGATGCAGCCTATCAATTGGCCGCCTTCCTCATGAACCGAATCCAGGACAAGGGCCTGCTGCCGCAGATTCAGAAGTTGGAGTTGATATACAGAGGGTTTGGCGCAGGCAGAGAGGCAGTCACAAAGGCGATATTGGGTGCTGAGGGAAAGAGGATACGGCCGTTGATTGTGAAGCTGGCCGACTCGACGAGGTTGAAGTTTGGTGGAACAAGGAGCAAGAAGCCGAGGAGACTGGGTTAGAGACTGCTTGTCGAACATGTGGGGACGGAACTCAGACGAAGTGTACGATGATAGTGGGGGTTACCAGGCGTCACGGGTAGCGGCTATGAGCACTTGGGCATGCATCACAAGAGCAGTGTATAGTGGCCAGGGCATATCAGACCAATTCAAGAGTCATGTCAGATTTTTCGGCAGTGGTGCCCTTTCAGCGGGTGGAATAGTCCGACCACTAGAATCCGTTTCCGCGATGTTGACAAGCCTGGGTGCAAGATTTCCAGCCTCATACCTAATAGGCCCTCTTGCGCTTCCTTGATCACCACGACTACTTCCAGCAGAATAGCCCGCGTTTTCCCAGCCCCTTGCTTCCTCAGTTGTCCGATGGCGTTCTCGTTCTCGATCATGACGTAGCATCGACGCTCCTTCGTCTTCGAACTCTTCGTCAAGCAACTCTCCATCAGCAGTATCATAATCCGGTGGCGCTATCCATTCCCGTGGTACAACGCATGGTAGAGCGACGCCGATGCTAGCGGCACGATTCAGATAGCTCGGCGCTGGGCGACCCGTGAGCCTCTCGCAGAGGTAGGACGTGAAGTGGTTGCAGTTCTTCGTGAGGAGGTTATACGACGTTCCTTGGAACTCGTGTGAGGCCTGTACTGTATTAGCCAAGTGTCTGAATTCACATGTTGCTGCATACCTCTTGTATGATAGCCTCTAGTTCTTCTTCAGGCCGGAAAGAGAAGCCATGTAAGATCGCCTGCTTGAACGTGCCACCCGGTGGTTCTTGCCCGGGCTTCGTCCAGTACACGCCTGTCAAGTCCCGCCGGTCATGTCCGCCGTATGCATATTCCCTGTCGCCAATAACAACACCTGTGTGAAGGAGCGAGCTGCCGATTGCCCAGAGTACAGTTGCGACCTTGCCGGGCGGTAACAGGTCATATACGTGTATGGAGACTTCGGTTCTCTGCAGCGACAGCGTGGTCCTATGTTGGCTGGAACTTTTGCGCGACGGTTTGGGACGGGTAGAGGATGACATTGTCTATGGTTGTAGTAATGTATGTACAATCGAGTGTGGTATGTATTGGGGTAGGTCTCTACGTCGGTACCGAATAAGAAGGGTGGGGTATCATGGACGCTGTTAAGGGACGATGAGTGGTACGAGGTAGTGGTACAATGACGGCAGGGCGGAGGTCAGTGAATGGGGCCAGCCCTGGGAGTAATATGCGGAGGGACAGGTGTGGGGGAGCAGATGGAGATGGAGGTCGTTGTAGCCATGACCGCCGGTTTGGCGCTCGAGCACAGCTGGAGACGCGGCTTCGGCGCTTGCTGCTTCGAGCAAGCGCTGCACGGACGCCGCCCTAGCCACATAAACTTAAGAAAATTCGATTGGACTCGCTGCACCGTCAATTAACCCAGGAAACGCAGGAGAGCGGCTGCTAGGTAGCTCTCCCACCCCTCTATTTCATCACGCCCCCCACCAGGCCTCTTACCTTTTCTTTCTCTTCTCTGATACCCACTTTTTACAATCCGGCAGCAAGCACTGCCTGCTTTTTCCCAGCCTCTTTGCACTCTTCATCTTCCCCCACCAAATTTTTCCTTTCCTTCACTGCAGCTCGCACCTACGCGTCCGCGCCCAAGAAGAAAAAGATGCCTCCCAAGAAGCAGGTCAAGGAGGAGAAGCTCCCGCTCGGCAGGCCGGGAAACAACCTGAAGACTGGTATCGTGAGTGAGAGCCCTCCTTAGCTGGTCTTGTCGCGTTCTCACATTAACAGTGATTGCCAGGTTGGCCTAGCGAACGTCGGCAAGTCGACGCTCTTCCAAGCCATCACCAAGTGCTCTCTTGGTAACCCCGCCAACTTCCCATATGCCACCATCGACCCAGAAGAGTCGCGCGTCATTGTCCCAGATGAGCGCTTCGACTGGCTAGTGGAGCACTACAAGCCCAAGTCGGTCGTACCTGCCCACTTGACCATCTACGATATTGCTGGTCTCACGCGCGGTGCTTCCACTGGTGCTGGTCTCGGTAACGCCTTCTTGTCGCACATCCGCGCCGTCGATGCCATCTTCCAGGTCGTCCGATGCTTCGACGATGCCGAGATTATCCACGTTGAGGGTGACGTCGACCCCATCCGTGACTTGGACATCATCGCCGAGGAGCTGCGCCTGAAGGACATTGAGTTCACCGAGAAGGCACACGCTGCGCTTGTCAAGGAGACCAGGAGAGGCGGTCAGAGTCTGGAGATGAAGAAGCTCAAGGAGGAGCAAGCCACAGTTGAGAAAGTCCTCGAGATGCTCAAGGATGGCAAGGATGTCCGGAAGGGCAACTGGTCGCCTAAAGAGGTATGTACATCTTACTTCCTTTCCCTGCACACCCTGTTACAAGATGACAAAGAGCGATTGCTCTATAATCCCAGCTCTCTGATGGCCCATTAACGCTGGGCTATTCTGAAGTGAAGTCCTTCTCTGATCAACAACACCCCAACCTCGTTACCTACATGGAAAACCTTTCGCAAGCTTGTACTAACAGTTTGCTAGGTCGAGCATATCAACCCTCTCTTCCTCCTCTCCGCCAAGCCCGTCGTCACTCTTGTCAACCTGAGCGAGAAGGACTACATCCGCCAGAAGAACAAGCATCTCCCCAAGATCGCCGAATGGGTCAAGACCAACGCCCCCGGTGACCCAATCATCCCCATCTCCGTACAGCTCGAGGAGCGCATCGCGGTCATGTCTGACGAGGAGGCCGCCGAAGAGCTCAAGAACCTCGGTACCAAGTCGGCGCTGCCCAAGGCCATCCAGGTCATGCGCAAGGCCCTTCAACTTGGTAGCTTCTTCACAACCGGTACCGACGAAGTCCGACAATGGACAATAAGGACTGGCACCAAGGCGCCACAAGCTGCTGGTGTCATTCACGGTGACTTCGAGAAGACCTTCATTCAGGCAATCGTATACAACTATGCGACATTGAGGGAAGAGGGTGACGAAGCCACTTGCAAGGCCAAGGGCAAGATCATGACCAAGGGCAAGGACTACGTTGTCGAGGATGGTGATATCCTCCTCATCAAGGCTGGTGCCGCGAAGGCATAGACAGCTTGATGAGTCTTGGTTATGTGTGTATGTGTTTATGATCTACATGCGCGTCTTATGATGAGCTATATGAAAAGCAGCTAGACTGCGCTGAATGAATGAGAATAAACATGACCACGAACAAATCAACTTTTCCCCATGCTGTGATATGTGACTACTCTTCTATTCTAACATGTTACGCAAAGCTTAGAAGACTATTCAGTAGAAGCCTTCACTCAGCTCCTCCACACCCCTATGCCAGTCTACTTCGCCTTTCCTTTCGTCTCAACAAGCATCCAGCTATTCCCACAGACACAGTGCTTACTCAACCCCAGCAAGTACTGAGAATGCGCAGGAGTATACCCCGGCAACCCCGGCACAACATCCTCCATACAAGCACCACACCTCGTACACTGCTTGAGCAAATTCTTCTTCTTCCTGCCCTCTCCATTCGCCCCGGCACTCTGAATACTATCACTCCTCGATCTGTTTCCCCCACCCGTCGCCGACCCCACAGGATGCGTCCACGTGCCCGTGCCCCTGATGATCATCTTCTGACACACATCCACCACATGCGTATCGTGCCAATACCTTGCGCGCTTAGAGTCCGTGAAGCCTAACCACGTGGTATCGAAGAACATGAGTCTACCCATGTCGAGCTTATCCGCGAGACAAACTTGCTGCGTCGTGCTCTTCCAGAGGTAATCCGTCACAAGGCGTTTAGCGACAGGGAAGAGGATGTCTGGGATTTTTCCGAGGAGGAGCTCGCGCTCGATGCTGTTGCGTTGCATGTCGGTTAGATTGCGCTGCTTGTACGTGCCGCGGACGTGGCTCTGCGTCTCGGTGAGCAGCTGTTCGTAGTAGCGGTAATCGAATGGGATATCAGTTATAGCAGCATAAAGAGGAGCGTAGAGCTTCTTTGCTTCAGGTGTTTGCGGCGGCGCATTTGGGTTCCCGGCTGCGGCATTGGGCAGCGTGACGTAGGCTGCTGCGCTGCGCGAGAGCCACGCAATAGGTTGGAACCAGAGTTTCATCATGGCGCGGGGGAAGGCGGACAGGATGAGGAGGAGCGCGGGTTTGTTGAGCTCACGGATTTT